CAAGGTAGTGTCTCTCAAGGTGGTGTCTCTCAAGGCATGGCGTCTCTCAAGGCGTGGTGTCTCTCAAGGCGTTGTGTCTCTCAAGATGGTGTCGCTCGAGGCGCGGTGTCTCTCAGAAGGTGGTTCAAGGTGTAGCGTCTCTCAAGGCGCCGTGTCTCTCACGGTGTGGCGTCTCTCAAGGTTTTTGGTGTGTCTCTCAAGGTGGTGTCTCTCAAGGTGGTGTCTTCAGTGACTCTGTGTGGTAACAGTTTGGGAGGGGCTTGGGGGCGTTTGTTTGGAATTTGCCTTGAAGATAAGGCTCTGAAATGACCTTATAGGGTAACTGGTATGAACTTGGTGGGTGGAAGAATCAAGCTAACCTAAAGTCACTGGAACCCCTTTTGACAATTGCCTTTGTGTTTGAGAAATACCTTTACCCCAGAGAGACCGCACCGTGAGAGTGACACTTTGAGAGTGGCCTGCAACCTTGAGAGATGGCACCCTGAGAGGAACCAAAGCACTTTTGACAGCGCCATGGGAGAGCCATTTCATGCACCCTTGCGTATGTGCGTGTGACTCGAGAACAACAATCGCCTATGTACAGCCTACGAATTACAAACCCTGTTACGCCACTGTCCCCTGTGAGCCGTCATGATGTTTTACCACCTGTGCTTGCTTGTGATGCCCCCGGGGTGTGCGACAGGCGCAGGCTGTGTGAGTGAATGCATCTGAGAAGATCGGTTTGTTTTGAATCTTTAGGCTCTGACTATACTTTGAGGGACAACGTGAGCAAGTATACTCAAAGACAAAGGAAACACAGGAAACACAAGCTAGCCAACAAGCACAGCTCCTGGGCGACGCCTGCATGCAGACCAGCTGAAACACAACTGGTACGCTTGTGATCTTTGCCATGGCTGAGCCCCCGTGCAGGCTGTTCTTAAAATGCGGCGGTGTCGCTGGCCGGAACCTACTTCCTGTCAAAGTACCCAGTTGTCGCGGAGGCAGCTCGCCCGCGAACAGACGGCGCTGTTTACCCTGTCAACCTGGCTCCGGTAGCTCCTGCGGCGCCGATCGTGGGTTCGCAAGCCAAGCCTGCCTCAGGGCCACCTTCTTGGCGCGGGGCAGCAGCGGGGCGCGGCGCAGCGGGGCGTGGCGCAGCGGGGCGTGGCGCAGCGGGGCATGGCGCAGCTTCACCAAGCAGCTGTGGCAGGCGGGGCCCGGTTGACCTTGTCCCTCCAGCTCCTCCACCTCCTCCAGCTCCTCCAGCCCCTCCAGCTCCTCCAGGCCCTCCAGCTCCTGCATCACCTGTGTCAGATACACTTGAGACGGAGGAGCGCTGCACTCATGATGACTACATGGATCCAACGGAAGACGCGGACGACTCCGACGATTTGCCTACCACGCCAGAGACAGATGCAGAGGCGGGCACCTTGCTGCCACTTCCAGTCGGGCCTGTCAAGCTCGAGCCTGCGTTGCCATCGCCATCATTACAGGGCGGGATGGCGAAGCTAACGCATGTACACATTGGAGTGAAAAAGGAAAAAGGCGCGCTAGTGTTGTTTTCAAACTTGCTGTGCTGAGATACGTTGAGCGCCAAGCTTTGGGTCATAAATCCTGAGCTGTCAGGGGGCACACCTCTAGAAGACTTAGGAGATGAGTCTGCAAAGCGCTGTATGCATGAATGTGATCTAAAGACAAGCGCTGCCAAACTTCTTGAGAGAGACACCTCAAGGCTCAAGTCAAGGAACCTTGAAAGACACATTGAGAGAAGCCCCCAGGAAACCTTTAGAGGGAAACCTTGAGAGACACCTTGAGAGACACTTTGAGAGACACCTTGAGAGACACCTTGAGAGACACCTTGAGAGGGATCTTGAGTGACACCTTGAGAGTGACCTTGAGAGAAACTGTAGTAAGAGAGACCTTGAGAAACCCTGAGAGAACTTTGAGAGATACCCTAAACAACAGACTGTTTGAGAGAATTGTGTGGAGCTACTTCAAAAAAACAACTTGAGGGTTGCCTTGAGATCCTTGAGAAACTATGAGGGGCAACACGCTGTCAGGACACTGCTGAGAGGGATAATGTATCCTTCACGGCGCAAACCAAATCCAACCCTCCTTTGTTGGAAGCCAACGCCATTTGATTGAGTTGGGGGGCTGGAGCCACGCAAATCACATGAGGCCTCAAGCAACAGAAAGCCTTTGAAGTTTGCTCTCAAGGCACGCTTAAGCACTCACAGTCGACGTGAAAGGCGGTAAACTTTCTCATGGCCCCAAACCCTTATACATGTTTCGACGGTTTCTCTCCTTGTTTGTGCTGACCTTTGCCACACGCAGGCGTTTGGGAGACATTGCGCACGCATAGCTGCTGCACAGCTCATTCCATCGCGCCATGTCCTCGCAACACTTTGAGGGCGACTCCCAAATGCTTGATCTTGATGCTCTTGATGCTGAAGATGGCGATGAGTTGGGGCCACCTGTTGGCTTCGCAGTCATGAACGATGGAAGCACCCGGGGAACCTTGCCAGAATTCCTCAGCCCCGTCACTGCCAGCCTTGCCGACAGCTTGCTCAATCTCATCAAGGACAACAAGAATCAAGACAAGGAGGAGAAGTCTGTGGAGGGCAACTGCAACATGCAGGAGGAAGAGTGCGGAAAGGGGAAGAGCAAGGCAAAGGACAAGGGTGGCCAAGGAACAAACAACAGTGGCAAGGGCGCGTCCTCATCATCATCTACTAAGAAGACAAAGACCAAGAAGTGAGGCCGGGCGCTTTGCCGACACAGATCGCTCTCCTGAGAGAAAAACAACAATGGGTCTATTTTGCCATAATGAAGCTAGAGTTCCAGTGTAACACTGGCCACCACTCCCATGGCCACAGCTACGCGCCCACAAGCATGATAACTTGTTTGAGAGCCGGAATGCCCCTGCTGCGCCAAAGCAACTTGAGGCTCGTCATGCCCCGCAGCCCCGAGTTTGTTCTTAGATATCGATTTCCCAGTAAAAAACAAAGCTGAGTTTCCAGAAACATACGTTGACAACATGTCTCTCCACATAGGGGGGGTCGAAGTTTGGTCGAATGTTGGTCGAAACTTCGACCCGTAGTTTGATCGCACTTTGGTCGTAGTTTGGTCGCAGTTTTGTTAAAACACTGTAAATACCAATGTTTTATGATATGATCATGCAAAACTACGACCAAACTGCGAGTCGAAGTTTCGACCAACATTCGACCAAACTTCGACCCCCCTTTCAACTCCCTTAAATGTGGCAATGAAAAACTGTACTAAAATGGTTGTGAATTTTGAGAGGAACAGTCTTGGGAGGGGCTTGGGGGCGTTAAGATTCTTTAGGAAACCAATATGTTTTGGTTCCTCTCAAGGTGCCATCTCTCAAGGTTGCAGACCACTCTCAAAGTGTCTCTCTCACGGCGCGGTCTCTCTGGCGCAAAGGTGTTTCTCCAACAAATGCAATCGTCAAAAGAGTTTCCACTTTAGGTTAGTTTGATTTTCAACCAGCAGGATTGGGCTCGTTTGTTTGGGCTCACAGGGGTGAGAAGCGACATCGAAAGTGACTGAGAGGAACATGTTGTGAGCAAACCACTGCGCAAACTACGCCTCTCACCTTTTGCACTGAGTACGTCACCTCCCCAACTTCCCCCGAGTCTTGTTTTCGCCACTCTCACGTCTCACACCTCCTGAGGAAGCGCTCGCTCAGAGCTTCAAGTACCCTAATGGCGTGGTGTCCTTGGTCCTGTGTAAGCTGCATCAGCGCATCCGCAACGTCTTTGCCGAAGTAGTGCTTAATGCTCGCAAAAGCACCCTTGGTTCTTTTTTTACCAGGCATATACAATGTATTGCTCGAGTCAAATGTAAAGTGGCCAGCGTCAATAAATACAACTTCAAGCTCGCCGCGTTCACGAACTCCGAGGTTACGAAAGCCAACGTCCATCACCCGAACGCCTGCAAGGGTCGCGCGCGCCAAAATAGCAACAACGTGCTCAGCGAAGTAAACATCAGCGGGAGGATGCCGTTCCAAATACTCCTCAGCAGTTTCAAAGCGATCTTGCACCACCGCGTGCAACGGGAATGCCATGTGCCCCTCAAATGAGCAGGTGCCATGCCAGCTACCATAAACGCCAGGCGCTAGGTCAGGAGCCCACAGGCTCAGCTTCATGTCAGGTTCGTTATCTGACAGGCTTCGCGCAAACTTGATGACCTTTCCAGGTGGATATTCATACACAATTCTTTGCGACCCCCACGCCACCCTTCTGATAGAGATTTGCTCGCCCCCCACCCACGTAATCGTTGCCACCTCAGGGAAATGGCTATTCCACTTTTTACCTGAAGAGCATGCCTGGCCATTCAAAATGAACTGCCATGCGCTAGAAGAACTAGATGCTTCCTGCGGTCCCAGCTCAGCGCCCTTGCAGGCATCCTCACTACTACACAATGCAGGCGCAGGTGAGGCTTCCCTGTGCAAGTAAGCTTGTTCTTGAAGAGTATCAGCTTGTTCTTCCCTGGGCAACTCAGCTTGTTCTGGAACAATTGTTGCAACAGATTCACTGCAGTTGCTGCCTTCGTCTGAAAAGATAGTCTTGTTGTCTTCATCTTCTACAGGCGGTTCTTCTTCTACATCGTCAGCTGCTTGTATCCCAGCGCGTAGAAGTGCGTCAAGATACCAACGGCGTCTCATAGCTTCAAGGAATGCGCTGGTGATCAAGTGTAACGCACTCACAAGCGACATGCTCCCGACATTGTTTCATGTAGGGTCTAGCCAATTTCTGAAGGCCAAACTATAATCGCACGTCTTGCCTGACATAATGGTTCGTGTTCAGAACACATGTGAATTTCAAACCAAAAGGTGTGCTCGAAACTGTGAGGGTGGGATGTGTTTCCAGGGCAGCGGCCGCCCTTCCCCTTGAACCATGAGAGGTGTGTCACACATTGAGTTGCTTTGCCTCTGCCTGCCTTGTTCAGCATCCAGCCGCTGTGCAAGAAACAGCACATTGCCAATTCCCCGCTTGGCCATGCCAGCTATGAAGAGGCCTGCGGCCAGCGAGGCTACGTCTGGTGCGCCCACGAAAAAGCCAGCTGCGAACAAGCTGACCATCAATGCCATGGTGGATGACATCAAGACGGCTGCTTCGTCCAAGGATGATGAGGAAGAGAACCAATTGCGCGACAAAGGAAAAGCCGAGAAATTCGGCAAATTAATGAAGGCTGGGGCATTGCCGCTAGCTGTGGTTCACATGTGGCAAATCGAGTCCAAGAAAGCGCAGAGCCAACGGCAGTTCCAGACGAATCTGATCAATGGACTGTTCAACAAGCAAACTGATGGATCCTACAAGATGAACACGGAGTCTCACCAGTTCAAAGAGTACCAGAAGATCTACGTCCAACACGTCGCCAAGGACAAGAAGAAGGGAATGCCGCGGGGGATCATGTTGGCTTCCGTTTTCCATGGCGACTCCAGGGCCATGGAGGCTAGCCTTGCTAAGGGCGAGTTGCAGTCGCACAAGGACGATGCGGGTATGGAGTACCTAAGCTTCCGTGAGCTGCAAACCATGGAGGTCAAGACCAACGAACGTGGTGAAACAGTTGAGGGGTTCAAGAAGCTCAAAAGCCAGGAGGCCCACACGTTGGCGGGGCTCATGTCGAAGATGAAGTGGGAGTGGGTCTGCAAGGAGGCAGGGTCCGGGCGTTGCTCTCGGGGCTTGCCTTTTGTCACTATTTGTCACACTCAGGGTTTCTGTGTCGGTGCTGTCAGTCGCTTCGCTTATCAGATGACCCCAGGCTGCCCCCCCCCCAATCACTCTCAAAGTCGCATTGCTCTGAACGTGTTTTTGGCTCTCACAGTTTATCGTTTCTCTCAAAGTGTGTGGTCGCTCTCAAGGTGAGTCTTTGTGCTCTCAAGGCAACGCTCTCACAAGGAAAATGAATGGTTTACGCTGGTTGTGGGTACCTTGAGAGAAACAGTTTCCTGAAACAATTGGATGGGGGATAAACATTGCAAAGCTAGCATCCATTCGCCCTTTTCCAGTTTATTCTTACTCTGGACATTCCTTTGGAGAAGTAAAGCTGCAACAGCTGTGTCCCCACCAGCGCTGCAAGACTTGTGGGCTAAGGCTGATCAGACTCGGCTTGAACAGGATGCTCATCTGCCTGAAGGGTTCCTCAAGACGCTGGCCAAGGCAGCCACGGCGTGCGACAAGTTGCTGAAAGAGGGCTTGAAGCTTTCCAAGGAAAGGGGCTTGGCGGAGAAGGAGGGAGCCCTCAAGGCTGCCTACGCCGACCTGACCAAGCACCAGAGCCAGATTGAACACGTCAAGACTTGGAAGGAACTCCCGAACACCGATGGCCCACTCACCAAAGGCGCCTTGGACAACTTCTTGCTTGACATTGCCCGGGACGTTGACAAGTACAACAAAGAGATCGAAAGCGTCAAGGGCATCCTCAAGGCAAGGCGCAACTGAGGCTTCCGTTTTTGTGTTTTGAAGCACCTTACGGGGCTCCACCTGGCCACAGCAGCTATAAGCGCAAGAATATACTTCAGGCACACCCGTGAATGCGGCGCAAAACATTGCTGAGCCTCGAGAGGCACACGCGCTGTGGCCCTTTTGAGAGACAAACGCTTGGTAGCTGCGCACACCTTGAGAGACACCCTGAGAGATACCCTGAGAGACACCCTGAGAGACATATGCTGTTTCCTTGATGTTGCGTAGAACACTGCGACGCACAAAGTTCTTCATATACACACACAAAGGTAACCTTTGAGCGGAAAGGAGCAGGATTTGTCAATTGTTGCATGGGTTTGTCAATTGAGCAGAAAACGCTGATTTTACCACACTGAGCATTGTTTGAACATATAAACAAGACTTGCTTCACACTTTCACCCAGCCGCGCCATGGATCGCTTACCTAAGCGCAGAAAGATTGGGGGAATCAGGCAGCGCATGGCCAAAGCCACCGCCAACGAACAGGCAGGCAATTTCACCAATGAAAGCCAGCTTGCCGCGCTCCTCCTGGAACTTTTTGCTTGGGGGGCTATGTCTCCCCAACTGATCCAAGAAATTGCTGCCCTGGCTGTTCGAGACTTGGAAGCCTCTATAGAAAATGGCCAAGTCCTTGCGTCCTTGCTGGCATAGGCACCAACGGCGCTTACAAAAACAAGTGCCATGCTGACCTGATGAACAAAGTCGAGCACTTGAGCCAACTACCAGAGCCATTTCGAGTTCGAGTTCCCTTCGCCCTGCCTTTCGGCGAGTCGCTGCAGGGAATGCTCTTGCCACACCAGCTCTTCGCGTCTTTGTGGCGGGACTACCCAGAAACTTGGCGATCGTCTGTTCTTCCTGATGAGCAAACCCTGCAACGATTTTGGAGCGCAGTGGATTCTCATCCACAGATGGAGAGCCACCCCATCCGGGACGTTGCCGATTACAAGTCCAAGGTTGTGCCGCTCGCCGTCCATGGAGACGGCGTGCCGGTGGTCGGTCTTGGCAAAGGGTGGTCCAAAGCTATGACCATGTTTTCGTGGTATTCGTTGATAGGGCAAGGGCAGACCAAAGAAATCTTATTCTGGGTCTGGAGCATGTATGACCGCATGAGCAAAGGCTCTGTCTCTGAAGGAACCAGAGGCGTTTTCTTTTTGCAGTGCTACGATGGTCCTTCCTGTGTTTGATGGAAGGGAAATGGCCAAGCGCCGACTTCCAGGGGAAGAGGCATCTCGGCCACCACAAAAATCATTGGGCGTGGTTTTGTTTTTTGTTCTTATTTAAGGCATTTTTGTCGCATGCATGGCACCCACACCAAAATAGGAACAAAAGCGTACAAATACAACAAGCTGCGCCCCCCGCAACAACTTTGACGGCCGCCGCAGGTATGTTGCTGGAAGTGAAGGGCACAGGCTGGCGGGAAAGTGGCTAGCTGGAGGATATCGGGGAGTATTGTTTGCCCTCACAGGGGACCTGGATTATTACAATAAAATATTGGGCCTTCCAAACTACTCTTCTGCGGCAGGGCCGTGCTCGCATTGTCAATGCAAAAAGGCGGGCGATGACACATGGACAGATTTTCGGGCAACTGCAAGCTGGCGAGCCACCAAGTGGACTCCTAGCGCGTGGCGTGCTTGGGAAGAGCATTCTCGATGCCCGCTGCTGTCCCTTCCAGGTGCCTCTTGCTGGACAGTCGCCTACGATTGGATGCACGTCAAATACCTAGGCACTGACATGTATCAATACGGATCTGTCTTAGCTTTTCTGTGCCATACGGTCATGGCGAACGAGCCCGAAGAGAATCTCTTACAGCGCTGGACGTTCTTGAAACAGTTTTTCAAGGACCATGGCACCCCATCGCCTTTTCGATATTTGAACCGTCTCTCTATGTTTGTGAGGCAAGGCGGCCGCTTCCCCAAATTGCGGGGCAAAGCTGCCGAGGTCAGGCACTTCGGGGCAGCTTTGCACGCTTTATGGAATGCTCACATGAACCCTCATTTGATTCTTCATCGCCGGATCAACTTGATGTTGCAGTTAAACTGCCAGCTGGAGAACATGATCACAGAGTACAAAGACGACTTCGCGTTCCCCCCTGGGCCTGCTGAGGACTTCGAAAACACATGCACGACAATGCTCCAATTGCAAACCCAAGTTGCTGAACATTTCTTGGAAGAAGGTATTGCCTATTTCGACGTGACTTCGAAATGTCACATGCTGCAAGAGCTCGCCATCCTGGCTCGTCACATCAACCCTCGGCTCATTTGGGTGTTTTGCGGGGAAGACATGATGCAAAAGATGCAACAAGTGGCGCAGAGCTGCACCAGGGGCAACACCCCGGGCCAAACCAATTTGAAAATGGCCCGCCACTACCGCCTCGGATTGCATTTCTTGTTCAAGAAACGTCACGGATGAAGGCGTTGCTCTCTGTCTTTCTCACACCCCAAAGCACTTTGCGCTCGCGTACTGTGTGTGCAAAAAAGGCGCGCCGTCAAGCTGTCTTTCATGCAACAGACAAGAAAACACGAGGAGCCCGCCAAAGGGGTCATCGCAAATACTTTTCGCAGAAGATCTAAGAGGTTTTAGGGGATCACCTTGAGAGACACACCTTGAGAGATGCATCTTGAAGGGTTTGCTTCGAGAGAGGCGCCTTTGTTAACAATGCGAGACGAAAATCTCATGGCCTAGCGCTGCCGAAACGGCGCATGGGAGTTATACCCAAGTGTATCTGCGCGCAAATGCGCTCACATGAAAATATTGTCACATGAACGGGGGGGGAACAAGATTTGTGTGTAAGAGTGAGAGAGCTTGCGCGCAGCGAAAGGCCACAGCAGCGCACGCATGCGCGCGCGCTGTGAAGGGCTGTCAAACATGAGGGGTCGCAGTTTGGTCGCAGTTTGGTCGTCAAACATGAGGGGTCGCAGTTTGGTCGCAGTTTGGTCGCAGTTTGGTAGAAATTTGTCCCCGGCACATTCTAACTAATAGTTAGAAAATAGTCTAAACTATTAGTTAGAAAATCGTGTGTGTTTTTGGAGCCAAAAAAATAGACTATTAGTTAGAATCGCGCCGGGCCAAATAGTCTACATATACTATTTTTTCGGCGCAACAACGAGACTAAATAGTTAAAAAAATAAACTATTTTCCACCACAAAAAAATCTACCTAATTTATAGAATTAGATCTAATTCTATAAATTAGGTAATTCCTAGTTTTCTGACTAATCTGGTCTATTGGGTAATATAATTTGATGGCTTGTTCTCATCATATGCTTCCCCCATATACTTATTATTTGCCACCGCTAATTTATGACTGACTTGACACATACCACCTCTCATTCCCTTTTCAACCATCTCAAACATTTCTTGGTCATGCAATTGTTCTATTTCAACGCCAGTTTTTAGAAGCATCGCGTCCCATGCGAAATTTGGCAACGTGTAATAATGAGCGGGGTCTAAACCGTAGTATTCCATACACAAGTCTCTAAAGTTTTCAAATACATCGGTCAGTAGTAAAACATCAGTTCTTAAATACAAGTCGTGATACTGCCCGAGTGTTCTAATCCCGAAGTGCTTCCATACTTTCAGTGCCCTTTCATAATCTTTATCGCTTACATGTTCTTCACTCAATTTACTGTAAAACGCTTCTTTCGGTGGTAAAGCCCTTTCCTTAAATCTTTCAAAATCATCAAAGTAGTCATAGGGATAAATACCCTTATCAGTCAATAAATCCAAATCTTCATCGGTTTTAACATACGGGTTTCTAACGCTGTATCTGAAATTGTTCTTCCAATTCTCACGCTTTTTATCATCCTCATATTTACTCAACTTCACCAACTTATCCAACGAAGACGATAAGAAACTGAAACTGTCCTTGAAACAAAGATTTTTAAAACCAAAGGTTATAAACTTTTCGCTGTTCTGAGCGATACATTCTATTTTAGAATTCTTGTTCAGTTCGTGAGCCTTGTTGATGATTAAGTGGGCATCGTAGTTTTTAAGGTTATGAAGAAACACAGGGATTTTATAATATCTCATACTAAAACCAAGATTACAATCATCGTGGGCGCATCCTCTGTAAGCTCCAGTAAAGTGACAATGGTCTCGAACCTTCTTGTCCTCAGGTTTAAAATCATTTCCACAGATAAAGCAAGTAGTAGCATTTTCAAAATCTTCCTTGTCCTTTTCAGTCATGATTATCTCTTTTACTTCCTTCATCCTACTAATAATATCTTCTCTGACTTCATTGATTTTTTCAACAAACTTATCCATACAATCTTCACCTCTGTATAAGTAAGGCTCACTACTTCCGGTTATAGCATTGACTACATTAATCATAAAACCACAGGGACGGTGATTTTGATATGATGTAGTTTTAGCTTTTGCCGATTTGCTTTTAACATCAATTGGCACAGTTAAACATTCAAAGTCGGCATAGATTACGAATGGAGCTTTAAGTTTCTTGAAATGGTTTTTGAATGCTATTGTTTCACCTGCTTTTGGCATTTCTATTTTTTGACCCTCAACTGCTAGACAACCCTGTTCTTCGTGTTTCTTTAAAAGTTCTTCGGACTTGAAACCATGTGAGCAGGTTCTACAGTGATACTTCTTCGCCTTCATCTTGTTAGTCTGACTACTCATTAACTTATCGTAATTTTTGATATAAGCGTAATGCGATTTAACTTCATCAGTCAATTTAATTAAATCGATTTTGTGTTGTGCTTGTGGGTTGTTGCTTCTTTTGTATAATAAAATAGTTTTACTATTCGTATCGGGGTTTATGTAATAAACATTGACCGATATGTGTTTGTTCTGTTCTTCAAATAGTTCAATCTCATCATTACCTACTGGAAAGTCAATATTATCCCACTTGATAAATTTGTCATCTACATATTTCTTATAATGATACATCTCGCAGGGATGGTCTTTTTTGAATAACTCATAAAATCCACATTGAACAGCATATTTAAAACATAAGTCATCCTCATTTTTAATATTAATACAAGCCTTTTTGTTTGCCACCCAGTCGGGCAATGCAATAAAGGATGAACCACGGGTAGGATTGTACCTATCATAACTGATGACTAACTTTTCAACTTGGACAAGAACCAAACTCGACTGAACGTCTTCGACTACTTCAATTTGTGTCTCAATGTCATGCCCAATGTTGTTTAAGACGTTGTTCAACTCATCGGTATTCTGAATATTGTATCTTCTGCTTCTTAACCTCCTTTGAATAAGTTCATTGTCGGGATTTTTGAATGATAAATCAGTTTCACGATTATTTTCATGTTCGGGTTTCTGTTCAGGAATTCGGCCAGTCGTTGCTTCTGGTATTTTAAGTAGGATAAACCTTTCAACCCCTTTAATCTTATATCACTTACCGAGTAGGTGTTGGCGTATCCCTTGAACGCTTGTTGCTCGTCTGTGATTTTGGACTTGAATCGCTTGACATAATCCTGTAAGGGTCTACCTCTCGTTAGTTTTAGATAATTAGCACCTTTCATTAAAAGGCCATGCTTTCTATATCCGTCACTCCTTGCCACTTCCTTTAGTTTCGTGTTCAATACGTTTGAAACTGGTTTGTTCTTATCATATCTGTAGGTCTTATCACCTATTTTGAGTTTTTGTGTTTGCCTCCCTTCTTTTTGTATTAGTTCGCCTTGTTGGCTGTTTAAAATGAAATCTATGATTTTATTTTCTGACATGGTAACCATAATACTATACTCTATATAATATAAGGTATTTTCTCTTTAAGTAGTTTTTCGGGCTGGGGTTGACTGTTGGAGAAAATGGGTTTCGGGTTGAGAATGAACGCATTAATCTCATTAAGTGTTTTTAATAAGATGAATGATTATTATTTTTTCATAATGTGCATTGTTGCGAAGCTTGCGAACAAATTTTAGATTTCTTGTGTTTAGATAAATTTGATTTGCTTGATATCGTCCTTCCACAGTCCTCGCAAGTGTAAGACTGTTTTAGGTTATTGTTGTAGTAATTCTGGTGGTAGTTCTTCTGGTCGTCCCTCCATCTCACGGGTTGCTCACTGTCCATCGCTCGAAGTCTGGTTCTGTTCGCTTATCATCTGTAAGACTAAGTCGTTTTCTGCTTTCATCAGTTCAACCATCATATCAAATTCGTCATTCGTTATTCTCTGTTTACTATTACCGTTAATAAAAATTCCTGTCATTTTACTATATTAGGGCGTTTTGTCTTTAAGTAGTTTTTATTTTTTCTTCTTGCCTCGGCTACTTTTTGTATTTGTGCTTTCTGGGCTTCTACTCCTGCTTCTTGTTTCCATTTGTTCCCTCGTCCATTCACTACCTCTAGCTATTTCTTGGGGTGAGTTGCTCCTGCTTCTTGTTTCTAATTGTCTTCTGTTCATTTGATTCCCTCTTGCTCTTTCTTCTGGTGAGTGGCTTCTGCTTCTTGCTTCTACCTGTCGTCTTGACCAGAATGATGCCCTCGGTTGTTCTTCTTCCTGTTCCCTTGATTGTTCTGATGGTGTGGATGTCTTCTTGTCACGTTTGAATAGTTCAAATACGCTCTTGTCTTCTCCACCTAAAAATATGTTTCTTAACGATTTTATTTCTCGGCTTTCCTCTTTCTTATCTTTTTCGGTTGATGCTGATGACGATGATGATGTTAAATGAAGACTTTGTAAATCTTCCTGCTTTTCATCTTTTGGTTCATCTTTTGGTTCATCTTTTGGTCCTGAAGTTGCATTACTATAAATTTCATCAGCAAAATCTTTTGCTATATATCGTGTTGTTTGTGCGTCTGCCTCGTTGTTTTCATATAACTGTGATGTTGGTGCTACTTCATCAAACATATCAGGGAACAATTCGTGTTGAAGAACTTGTTTATCAGTTTGAACCCTAGCATTCAACCGTAGTCTCCTATCGTATTTTGAAAGGTCAAAATCGTCAAAATCTATATTGTTGATTGACAAGTCAATTACCTGTCTTTCGGGGATGATTTCAATTTTTAATCTGTGCGTCATCGCTTCCTTTAGCATTTCTTCAAAAGTAGGGCGTCGGCGTAATCCATAATATTTATTAGTCATATTAAATATTATATATTTTTTTATTGTTGAGTTGATGAACTTGGTTTCTGTTTGAAGTATTTGTTATAAACATTGTCATTGTAATATGTTTCTAACCGAGCACGAATTCCTTTTCTTTCTGTTGTTCTTGCATTGTTATATTCGTCTAATAATTCTTTGAACTCATCGTATTTATCAGCATTTATTACATTAAATTGATGTAGTTTTGAAATTATGTTATCCATCATAGTTCCCGGATTTTTCGATAAATACACCGGCCACAACCACTTTATACTAGTTAAATAATTTTTGAAAATTCGTTCGTCATCAACGTCTTCGTTTTCGACATTTTGTAATTCCAACTCGATTGCTTTT